ACCAGGTACTGCTACTCATGAAAACGAACTTGAGCAAGCTAATTCATGTCTGTTTTCAGTTCCTCACCTGAAAAATAAGAAAGAACTACATCATAGCATTATTGTGAGGGTAGGATAGGTGAACACAGGGAGAGAAATGGAACCAACGGTTACAACTATTTTACCCAGTCATTTCAATATTACAAAGAGAAAAATTATCTATAAACATTATAGAGAAAACTGCAGTTTTATAAAATTAAATAGACTACAAGAAACATAGCAGAAATAGGATAATGAGGGTAACTTTGTTTTGTATTTCACTGCTTTCCAAAGTTACTTAACTTTATGGCTGAATTTACATACCAAATCTTTATAATAGAGGCATACCCTGACAAGTCCTATACCAGCAGAAAAGTCTATTAATCAACATTCAACATGAATAGGAAGAAACAGCACATGAAAAAGGAACACTTCTCTATCACCTGTAAACAAAGAAGAATCTGCCCTTTCAGATACCACCCCTCCTAAGCTAAGTCAGAGGCATGGGAGTACTTTAGCACCAGCCTAGATTTTATTTTTTAATGTAAAACACATAAAACTGTAGAACATTAAGCAGAATCAAAAAAAGAAGGGAACTAAAATGTACTCTTTAAAATAAAATTCAATACCCCAAATAAGGCATTATGTCACGTATTCCAGTGGACAGTCCATAGTCTAAGTCCCTCAAACAGTAAAATGTTTCAACCTTAGTTGTGAGTTCCATGTATTTAATATTTGCAAAATGCAGATGTTCTTCCCCAAGCTTCCTGGTGAAGTTAGTGCTGGAAGAGGCCAGTGTTAGTGTTCCTTGAAAGGTTCTGGGGTTACTCCAAGGAACACCAGGGTTAACAGCTGCTGAGAGACAGGGCAGGCTCACCAGCTTGGATCCTCCTAAACCACATCCTTCTCTGAAACACATCTGCATAAATTACCTCATCAGAGTGTATTCAGAACTTTCTTTAACACAACAATTTTGTTCTTTCTACAAATCTGTAAAGTTTGAGTAGAACTAAGGTTTTTCTGTTTTAATAAGATATGTAAAAGAATGTGCTAATCACAAAAATTGGTTTCCATGTGTTTTCTTCTGTGGGGGCACAGCAGCAACCAGAGAAAGAATATATCCGTTTATAAATATGAAAGCTAATATTAAATATTATACATGCCAAATTAAAATAGGATTAGGTAAACAGGCTGTGAGGATGAAAATTACAGAATTTCAGCAGAAAACTGAACTGTAAGAACAAAGCAATTTTAATTTAGCATGTTTCAGCTTTAATTTATAGACTCAAATTATCATGGAGAGATCAGCTGAATCTTTCTCCTTTGAAAGTATTAATAGTTCCAAGCCTATACCCAAATCAGACAAATAATAAGTCATAAATCCAAACAGCAGCCTCCAATAAGCACTTAACATATAACTTCTCCTAGGAATGTGTGAGGTGCTATGAGGAACTTAGAAGGACTAGCTTTGAAAAACTTAATGATGTTTTTCACAGTCTGTCCATGTGACTGAATGTATTAGAAGTTCATTTCTTTTCACTATTGGATAAATTCTACTGCACAGATATAAATACTTTGTTTATTCGCTCAACATAAGTGGAGATTTTAATTATCTCTGGTTTTTGTTGTTAGGAATTTACAACCTCTCATGTGTGAGGTATTTACTAAATGTGGGGTATTTACTAAGTACATGGCTATGTATATGGCTCTGTGATTGGCTCATTTTGTAAAACTTTCATATGAACACTTTTTGTTTATGGCTTGTATTGTATTGTTTTTTAAGGCAGGTTTTCTCTGTGTAGCCCTGGCTGACCTGGAAGTCACTCGATAGACCAGGCTTGCCTTGAACTCAGAGACCCATCTGCCTCTGCCTCTCAAGTGCTGAAATTAAAAGTGTGTCCCACCACACTCAGTTTATATTCACACATTTATCAATCCCAAAAAAACCCGAAAAATAGTTGACCTGGGTGTCCAAGGAGAAACTGTCAAATTCAATCTTCTTGTGAATAAATTGGAATGACTACCTTTTTCCTTCTAAAATAATAGCTAAAGAAAAAACCCAAGATAGATCCTCTTATTTCCTCCACTTTGGCATATATTGAAAATACTTCCTTACAATATATAACCTCTCTGAAAATAGTAAACTTTATAGTCGCAGACCTCTGGTTCTCATATTATAAATTATGTATGACACGGAGAAAAAAAATCACATAAACACTAGTTAAGATACTTTATAAATGTACTGATGCCTGGATGCATATTTTGCGAGCTTTTTTTTTTCTTCATCATAATGCTTCATCGTATTTAAAGGATAGTTAAAAAATATTGCATACTTTGCTGTAATGTATACAAAAGTTGTCTGTTATAGATGAAGAGTTGGTTTTCATCTACCAAGCTCCCAGAAAGCCCAGGGATTCACACTAAGAGCAGGAAGAGGCCTGTCATCCTTGCTTTCACTTCAAAACTTCTCCATTACAGTCAGCTACAAAGAAGTTGTCCCAAATAGTTTAGAGGAAATGGAAAAACCAAAGACTGTTTGCATTGCTAATAAGACTACCATTCCTCTGGCTGAATGCTGCCCGCCCACAACCCACTTCAAAACATGGAAGCCCTTTCTTCCAAATAGGACTAACTCTTCCAGACCTGCATAATTGTATTTTTTTCTTTTTTTTAACCTTTTTCATAGTTTATAATTATGTGAATTTTTATAAAGCAGTTAATGTCCACAGTAACCCAGCTAACTTGCGTATTTGTTTTCTTGTAAAAAATATAGATTAACTTGTTAGTTAAAACATTTGTTTATCAGAACTCATACACCTCCAAGCTGTACATAATCAAAAAACAGAGGTAGATGTTACTTTGTTATTTATAAGTAAAAAGCATGATGTAACAAATGTGTGTGTGTCAAAGCTACCTCGTCCTTTTCGACCCTGGTTTTCATTCTATTGTCTACTAACCTGTCAGATCTACTCTATGTAACCCCTTGGAATTAAAAAAATGATGAGGAAGACGTCTAGAACAACAGATTTTCCTCCATTAGAATGTCAAGAAAAAACAAAAACTCTTGTCACTTCTGACCCAAAGGCCTTGGTAATTAACAAGAATACAGCAGCAGCTGAAAGTCCCAGGTCATTATCTCTAAGGTCATGAGAGCTGGTTACACAGCTTCCTTTAAATGAGACTTAGAATCCCCATAACCACTCTCAGGATTCTTTATGATTAGAAACAGGCAGATAATAATATACATTGAAAGGCTGAAAAAAAAATTGTTGTTCTTTGTTTACAGGTAGATACCAGGCAAAATTCAATTGCCTTCTGTACCATGCACTTTTCATTCAGTTATACTTCTGTAAGAAATCTCAGAGCAGTGAAGAGAAATAAGCTTTTAAAAGATTAGCATATGTCTGAGCTCAGGAAAACACAAAACAAGAATATTGGTACATAGTTTGTTCATTGTTGGCAAACAAAACAAACCAAAACCCTCTATGGTCCAAACTTTAAAACATGAAAATATTTTTAAGACATTGATCTTATGAACAAAATCCTGAGCTAGCAACAAGAAAGGCTTCTTTGAGCTGGAGAACTTGGGTCTGTGATGAAGAGCACTGTCTACTCTTCCACAAGGCCTGTATTCACCTCCAGTATGCACTTGATGGCTGAGAGAAGTCAGTAACACAAGTTCCAGAAGATCTGTTTCCCCCTCCTCACCACCACTATTGCACATACACATAGACATACATGCAGAAAAAACTCCCACACACATAAAATAAAAAGAGAAAGGATGAGAGAGAGAGAGTGAGAGAGAAAGAGAGAGAGATGAGACAGAGACAGAGAGGAGAGACAGAGACACAGACAGAGAGAGAAACAAACATAATCACTGCTTTTTAATTTAACCCTTCTTTGGTCAGTGCTTAACTAAAAAAACATAAACGTCTTCTAACCATATCCAAAGTTGGTCAACCTAATACAGATTTAGGAAGGAGAGAGTATTTTCCCGATTGACTCCCTCAGCCTCTAAGTAAATAAATGTTCTCTTCTAACAATTATTAAGGGATGCCTGCTAAGGTGGTATGCTCTCATTTCATACCAACCTAAGAGAAATTTGTAAATTCAAATCTATCCAATGAAGTCATTGATAGCTTGAAATGAATTCTGACTAATCCTTAATTTTGTTGAAAAACCAAAAAAAAGTTTTAAAAGTAAAGCTTTATTCCCAAACCACAACTCCAAAAGATTTTGTAGAAGATGAATTGTAGCAAGCTTCGTTTATCCATTCCTAGTATGAGAAATAGCACATGAGAAATATTACAAATGTCCTTAATGCTTAGCTTAGCATCACCCAGAAGCTCATGGAAAATTTACCTGTATTTTATCTAAAAAAACAAAAAAAAACAAAAAAAAACCTCTTTGGCTTGTATCCATAGTAAATCCCCACAGATCTCCTTTAATCACAAACAGAGAGAAAAATAATAATAATCCAACAAAATTCCAAACTTTAAAAAACAGATGGTTATTCTTCACAAGGCAGTGGCTGTCAGGCAAAGCAATGATTTGTGAACGGAATCTTCTTTCTCCTATTCCACAAATTACCAATGTTTGTCTCAAGAAAAACTATCAGTAATTGTTGGCAAAATAAAAAGATAAATAAAAATAATTTTTTAAAAAAGTGAAGCTCTGTCTGCTAGTAGTGACAATTATCCAAATATCAAGAGAAGTTCTAAAACAAAACTCCCAAAGGACAGACACTCCCTCTGAAGGAAAGAACAAATAAGGAAATGCCTGCCAGACTCTGCAGAAACTCTTCAGGGACTGGGAAACTGAACTTCAGCATCTTTCCAGTACAAAGACAGAGGAGCAGGCACAAGTAAATGAGAAGGAGGCATGAGAACAAAGACAGAAAAGAGTGGAGGGGGAGATGGTACCAAGTGAACTCGACACTCCGGATGTCTTAGAATTAACCATCTTAAAACAAATTTCATTACCTGACAGGCAGATATAAGTTAAGTATTCGCCTTGACCCCCAGTTGCCAAGAAAGGAATCTTTTTCTTTGTCCTTCTCTTGACTTGGACAGCTCCCAGCATTCTTTCATCAAGAGGTGCAAAAATTTCCTTGCTGATGGCAGACTTGGCACTCATTGTAGAGCCACCCAGGAGGGCACGCAGGGAATTTTCTGAAGAAAAAGAAAAGGAAAGTTGGAACTGATGATATCGTAGAGCTTACGGGAATGAACAGCCAGTGTTTACAGGTGCGGTGCTGTTGTGTTCCCAAGTTAACCTCTGAGTTACAGTAACATTAATAGCAAGCTCTTCATGCTGTACTGTCTGTAGAGATGCAAAGAAAAAGGGAGTATGTTTTTACTACTTGAAATGTCCAACACAAGGTGACATGAACAGCAAGCAAAGGGCTCTAGGGGGATTGTTAATGTCTACTTCAGCTGTGCCTTCTCCTACATGGCAACGGCAACAGTATCCATCCTCTTCCTCCTTTGCCAGGAACAATCCACACTTGTAGTTGAGAAGTCTTTCCACTGTCTCACAACCCTTAAATCAAGTTCTTTATGCTTCTCCCAAATCTTCTTAAACTTCAATGTAAATATACTTTCCTAACTGCGTTCATAGTGCAAATAATTATGTCATCTTCTACATAATAGCCATTTAAGAAAAGGAAGACCATTAATTTTGACACTTCTCAGCTCCACTCACCAGCTAAGCAGCTCTGGTTTATTGATCTCCTGCAGTGCACCACTGTCCAGTGTTCCAGTGCACAGACTTTTCACAATCTGGATGCTTGCCACACCTTCCCCATTTTCCTTCAGCTCCAGGGGACATAGCATTTTAAATCCATGTCTAACTAGTGACAACTTTTTTAGAAGTGCCACCTAGCAGTTCCGACTTTATGCCCCTGCGGTTAACTGGTAGCGGTTGCCCAACAATGACGCAGTCTGTGCCCCCACACACCCCATGCACAAACTAATGCAGTCACAGCTCTGACACTGTATTTGGTTTCCCAGAGTTGTATTTCCCAGATGATCTTAGTTCTGCTTCTGGTTTTTCATGTTCAAGATCAATCCAAAATCAGTCCAGCTCAAGAATATTAGGCAAATCTACTACAGTCCACTATCATAGTCACACATAACCTGTGAATCATCACTAACCAATATTTATTTGGGCAATTTAAAAATTCACAATTAGGCTCAGGGAGAAGGCTCACAAAAGCACAAGAACCCCAGTTCGATTGCCAGAAGAAAAGGCTAGCTGTGGTGGCATTTGTAAACCCAGTACTATGAGGATGAGAGAGGTAGATCCCTCAAGCTCCCTGGCTTGCCAGCTTATGCTACTGTTCTACTCAGTGAGTGTCAGGCCAATGGGACTGGAAAATAAAACAGGAGTACAGTGCCTGAGGAAAGGCATCCACGTTTGATCTCTGGCCTCCACACTCTCACACACATACATGCATGCATGCATGCATACCTGTACACATATGAATATCACAAGCCCCAGCCAGAACTGAAGGTGCAGGGAATGCTGTTGTCCCACTCTCACAGGTTGTTTAGAGTCCTGTGAAGTCCTGTATAGATTGGCAGCACAGTAAATGCCATCTCAGTAGCTCAAAGGCTTGGTCAGACTGGCCTGAAACTGATAGAGAAGTCCCCACTAGGTGCTACTTTGTGTTTGCTATTAGAAATTCTGCAACAAATTAAGATCCGGTCTCTGTCCTACAAGGGTTTGATTACAGACCACATCATAAGCTTCACTGGTAGGCCAGTAAGGTGATTCATTGAATACAATCAATTCTGATTGTTAAATAGGTTAATATGTTCAGATCATGCAGTCCAATGCCTAGATATGCTTTATTAGTCTTAAATGTGGCAGATTCTTATTAACTTTTATTATGACATGAATAATGAAATATCCTTTGAACTGTAAGAATAGAATGAATGTACCCATGCATAGCAGAAGATATCTGGCAGAATAATATTCAAATTTACTTAGCAAAGTCTTGCTTTTTTCATGTATAGATACACCCAAATAGATTGTTTCTTCTATAAAGGTACAAGCACAAGATCGAGAAGTCATGGGCCTTTCTCCTTTGAAAATCACAACTGGGAGAGTATCACTTTCATTCTAGGGTCGAGTGTCATGTTTTTTTTTATTTCCAGAGCTTTCTAACGTACTTGAAGGTGTATGTTTTCAGTGTTGTACTGCGAATGTTAATGTACTGTGGATTATAGGAGAAAATCAGAGCATAAATGGGGTGCTGCTTTGCTGTCTTAAATCCAGTTGCACATCTGAATTCACTCCATCAGAATCTTACAAACAGTATTTTAAACAACTCTCTAACTCATTCTCAGGTTGCCATGCAATCATCTGGCCACCAAGTTTAAAAGCCATTATCTTATCCAAAACTAAAACCCCAACCAGAAAGTTAGCAATTGTTAGAGACGGGATCATTTCAGGAGAGGAAACATGTGCCTGTGGATAAAGAAGGGGTTGGATGAACATGTTATATCTGCTAGCACATTCTTCCATGTAGCTGAACGAATACTTTCAACTAGTATTTCTCACTGGTAGGAACTGAAAGAAGCCAGTTAAGACAGATGGATGCGATAACATTCCACATTTTAAAGTACAGCCACTAAAAGCTCAATGAAGCATTAATGGTATCAACAAACCTAGAAGAAGTCTTGGCTTGGGGAGGGGGGTGCGCGGCACTGGCACCGAATATCAAGAATCCATACTTGAGGCCTCACAAGGTTTACAAATGTAAGTCTGAATGAATAAGATACATAAAGTATTTGAACAGCGCTCTTAAAGGAGCCACGCACTTCTATAAGGAGAAAAAAAAAAGATATAGGAATTAAAAAAAAAAAGATTAAAAAAAAAAAAAGCTTTCTTTAGCCAGTCAGGAAAGCATTTGATAGGACAGAGAGGGAAAGTTCCAACCGGACTTTATATCTGTCATCTCTGGGTCTGGATCACAGAGATCCAAGGGTTCAAGGGCCATGGACTGAGGCTTGTACACCCATGCAAGCTTATTTTGCTGCATAAAAGGGGTTTGGAATTATTGTTTCCAGTGGGTATGGTAGCCCCTGAACTTAATGACTCACTCGATAAGCAAACTCTTAAAATGGTTTCATGAACAGAAGTCCATGGCAGGTCCTCTGCACAGCACTAGTAAGGAATCCCTAAGTGTCTATGGCCATTCATGAATTTATAAAGCCCTTTACGTTCAATCCCAAATGTAGGTCAAGATAGCTGCTGAATGTATCCTCTCAAAGCTTCAAATAAGAATCATTAGATATGTCTTTTTATAATGGTAAATTATTCCATTTTTATCCACTTCCTTTTGGGCTACAGAGTATGCCAAAGTGTTAAAATTTCCTCTCATAGACATAGTATTTAAGTGAAAAACCCTTTGAATGAGAAGCTTGACCATTAGAGAGATGGATATGATGTAATATAGACATGCTTACCTGAGGTTCACTTCAAAAGCAACACATTATGGATACCATAACAATCATAAATGGTCATTGCTTAAATACAGAAGAGCTGAAGCCCATCTACCCAGTGGAATATTACATTTTTTCTAAAATCTGGACCATACACAGGAATTCAGATCCTTGGAACTATCATAGGTATATGTGGCAGACCCCTTATATTTCCAACGTCAGAAAGCTGAGACAGGAGACTCCCAGGGCAAACTGGCTTATCTATCAGACCAGTCGTATCAATGAGTTGAGAGTTTTTGACTCATTAAATAAGGGTGTTATGTGCAAACTCACCCATGTTCACATGCACCCACACATGCTACACATGCTACACATAATACACATGTACACCACATACCCATGAAAATGGGAAGCCATAGATACACACTCAGGAAAATGAGAAAGAAATAATGCCGAGTGAAATTAAGGAGACTATAGAACAGAAAATGTGCTTCCTAATGCATAATTTCACCTGTATCCTTTTTGTTGCTTTTGTTCTTGTTTGGTTCTTTCTCTTGCTCTCTTTCTGTCTCGCTCTGCTCTGTTCTAAACAGGGTCTCTATATAATAAATAGCCTTGGCTTTCCCAGATCTTACTCCGTGTAGACCAGATTTGAACTCATGGAGTTCTACCTGCCTCTGCAGACTAAATGCTAGGACTGAAGGCATGTGTCATCACGCCTGGCATACTTACATACTTATTATACCCAGGAAAATGCCTAGAAACAAGTTTGCTACTAAGCCCCTATCATTATTTGAACTCAAAACAAGAAAATAAGGTGGAAAAATCTTCGCCCTCTCCTCACTATCACCGAGCTACCACGCTGCCACCAACGGCTGTGATGCCAGACCTACCCTCCTCCTAGCCTGAAAGCCATAAAAATCTATTTAACTGTGATTCGATGATTAGACTCACTCTCTTTAATTCCATTCAACAACAAATCAAATGAGAAAGGAACGTGAATGTTATCAGTGGTCAAGGGGCTGGAAGATTGTCAATAGAGGAGGACACATTCCTCTGTGGAGCAACAGCCCCTGCCTGGCCACTGCCTAGAGAGGACAGTAACAGCCACATGCCAGTTCAGGTTTAGTCCTGCAGTCACACACCTTCGGACAGGGTAAATACAAGACTACTAACCATCAAACATCACAGCCTCAGCTACAGTGAAGCTTTTAAGGCAGGAAGAGTCTTCAGTATTATACTACTAATTTTGTGAGACTTGGCTTTCTCTTCCCTAAGTATATAGTCTCCTGTGTAAGAGACACTACGTACATAGGATCTTTGTGCCTATGACTCATTCTACGTCAGTTACAGAAGTACACTATTCTCATCTCCTCTTTCCTCGTTTGCTTGCTAAGTCCATCCTTTGTATAGGTTTGACATTTAAAAACAAATCCTGCTCTGCCACAGACCTGGTTTACAAGTTTATTTACATTGTTCTTGTATTTGTAGTTTACCACATCTCCACATTAACAAACAGAATTACAAACCAGTATGTAAAACCAAAATATAATAATAACAAGAACAAGAACAACAATACCTTTGGTTTAAAACCATCACCTACAGGAAGAAGCACTGGAAGTGGACAAGTCAATTCCTATAATGTTCAAATACAGACAAAACCACACAGGGTGGATTCTATACACATACAGACAGCCTAATTATTTGCTATGTTCAACATT